GTCGTTGTCGTTGTCGACTTTTCTATACAATTACATCAATGCATACGTGCATCGAGTAACTGTACAGGGACATAAATGAATACCGTATCGAATACATATGTGTTGTACACCGATGCACACATTACCTTGAACATTCATCCGTTGAAAAGAAGTAGAAGAGGAAAAAAAACGCGATGACAAGTGTGAGAAAGAGAAAGTAGCTGCTACGTTGTCGTTTAATCAGTCAATATATACGAATTATCTATAGAAAAAGGTACAAGGAAAAAAATATATAATCATACAATCCTCTTGAAAGTAATTGTCAGTTTTAATGATGTCAATATATCTATGTTATACATTATTGCCACAAATGGGTTGTTCATCAAGTCTATACATATATAATCAATGAGACATATACACACATTATTATCATGCAATTATATTCAAAAGAATCTCTTTACTGCTTATATATACATATGCTTCTGTTCAAAATATAATAAAACTCAAGGGATTCTCTCTCTCTCTCTCTTTCAAGTATATATGTGATTATTTATTCATACCTATTAGATATAATAAAAAATTTTTAATTTCGATATCCATATTTATTTTAAATTAAACATTTGAAAAATTGTCAGACTGAATGAATTCCGTGTTTTTTTTCAAAATAAATCGAACAACTACATACATCAGAATTGTATTCAACGAACAATCATACGATACACACTCTTTATAAAGAGGTCAATCGAATAATGGCGATGATGATTACTAGAAGCAGTATGAATAGTAGTAGCAGCAGCAGCAGAAAAAGAAAAATATTTGAACTTGTTGTTCTGTCGTTCTCATCTTTTACTGTGTACAATAGAAGAATGAAAATTTCTAATTTCACTAATAAATAGCCTTAAGAAACAATGAATATGTCTGACTACTCACTCAGCATCAATGCATTCTTTTTCTAATTAGCGAAACTTCAGAAGAGAGATCCGACTATATTCGTAAATAAAACTAACTGAGCAAGAACGAGATCATATAGCACCTGACCGCATTTTATAAATAATAGATGAAAAAAATTAACTCGCAGTCAGCCTTAGACATGCTTCATAATATCAAGAGAATCAATCATTTTCAACTTTAACATCATAGTCTGGTTACTCTATGACCTTGAATCAATCAAAAATGTACAACGATTAATGAACATCAATATATATATATATACAATTTATTTCTAACAATTCAACTACTCCGTAATATTATAAATGATGATGATAGAATAAGATGTATATTCATGACATACTCTATCACGTATTTGCCAATAGGCAAAATACATACACAATCATCATCATTATCATCAGGAGATCAGCATCAACTGTCGTCGTCCAAAGAAAGCAATAAATATGAACGAGTAGTAGGCGGATGAGCAAAAGCAGTAGTACAGTTAGTTACGTCAGTCATTTGGATAGATGGATGAAGTAAGCAGAGAAAGTGTATGTATATGACAAATGAAGGTCTAATTTCTTTCGTTTCGATATTACATCGATGAAAAATGCAAGTATACATAAGTATATGTATATGCACATTCATGTTGTTATATTACGCATGTATACATATTCACGGATGGTGATTTGTTCAAAATGAGCATAAATATATATATATATATATATATATATATATATATACGTATATCTGCATAATTTGTTTTAGTTTTCATCGACAAAAATGTTCTTACATGATGCATGATATTGAATAATTATTATTATTCTTATTTAGAGAAAAACCTAAATGATAATATCAGGTATTTAGTAATAATTTTCATAAGATGCGTGTAGAAATATATTTAAATCGGGAATAAAAAGAACGAAGAAAACTACTTTTTGCACCTGTCATGTAGATACTTGCATGTTTATATGTTGTTAAAAATTAAAATAATCTATTTAGTGCATGTGGCATGCATCTGTTCACAAACTACAAAAAAAAAGATGATTAAACTCTCACTCATTCTTTTGTTAATATATATGTGAGAAAACAAGTCAAGCAGGATGAATAAATGAATTAAAATATATATATTTAATTTAACAAGTCTTTATTCTTAATAGGTAATTGCAATGTACATTTTACTTACGTTTGCTTAGTAATCGACGTGCCAAACCGGTCATTATCAATAGTTAAGGAATGAGTAAAGAAAGTCTAAAATAGGAAGTCAAGAATAAGAATATATATATATATATATAAATGAAATCAATTATTTTATCGTCATTTGAATAGAAGTAGTAATAGTAACAGATTGAAAAGAAAATATATATAAGACCTACTATGAAATAAAAAGTTCTATTTTTGCTTTACAATGAAATGCATACAATGAGAATAGAAAGAGAATACTACCGGTTTTTTTTTCACAATTCATATTCTAATTGTACCACTCATGTTCTTTCGTTCTGGCAAATAAAATGACGAGAGAGAGAGAAAATATAGAGAAAAGAGATGCTGTTGAACAAATATTATCGTCGTCCTTCTTGTTTTTTTTTCTATATATTCTTTTCATACAGTCTATCCATTACACGTCGTCTCGAGAAAGAGATAACAATGACTATCTCTCAATCGATGCTACACTATGATTATTTCTCTCTCTTTCTCTCTCGCTTTTCTCAAAAGTTGAACATATATAGATGAAAAATACATGTTCAATGTCGACACGAAATCTTATTTTCTTTTTCTTTTCTCCTCATTATTATTTCCGATAGATAATTTTAGTAAATAGAAAGGAAATGAATTCTCATTTTGAGAGTTCAACAATTAACACATGTCTAAAGATATGTTGTCTTGCTTTGAGAGAGAGGCGGCAAACTCTTTTTTATGATCAAGAATAATAATGATGAGGATAAATTTCTTTCCTTCTCATTAATAAATATCATCATCTGGAAAAGGGCAGTTTTTATACTGAGAGATAGTGTTTACTTCTCTTTACTCTCATAGAAGATAATCACATGTATAAACAAATATATTTATATATCAACGAAAAAAACTAATACCATTCGTCTGTTAACATAAGCAACAGCAGGCATTTATTTTCTAAATGGAATATTATACTATGATGAACAATTTTGATTAATCATCTTGATGCCTGTTGAGAGAAACAATCTATATTATTGCTTAATATACCACTGAATGACATGTTTATTGTCTATAGATATTCTAAACAAATTCTTTAATTTAATTCTCATAAGAGAATCGAAAAACAAAAATTCATACATTTTCTTTTTTTCGACTAACAGCTGGTTTGTATAAGTAAATCAAAGAGATAATATCTAGAGTATTCAAATTTAAACATCTGTACTATTACATGAACATAATGGTAATAAATCGGATTATATGTAAACATGATAATTAGATTCTATTATACAATTTGACTGAACTATCGACATCATATGGATATATATATATATAATTCAATACATCAAAGATTTAAAATAGATAATTTTATATACATTCGTTATTTTACATTTGTACGAAAGATTTCGATAAAGATAATATTATTTTTTTTTTAAAAATTCAACATTAGTATATCTAAAATGCGATGAAATAATTCAAGATAATTACTTTTAATTATCGAAAGATTATAAATCATCTTTATTCTATCTATGATACAGATTTATGTAATATTCAACGTAATAGAGATCTTATGAAAAAGATCAAAGTTCAATATTAGAAATATGATATTAAAAAAACAGCCGTGTTTTTTGACAATTTCCTTAAGTATTTTTATTTTTTTTTATTCATTTGATATATACGTATTATTTTCTCCTACGCTTTCTAATTAAGAATTATTTATATATTTTATTACATTCACGAAAAAAATTAGCAACGTTTTTTTATTCACATAAAGAGAAGACAAAAAAAAAGATTAATTTTGATTAATTAGGATATAGTTAAAATGTATGCAATGAGATTAAATATAAAGAAGAAACACTCTTATTTATACATATTTAACTGTAACAAGACAAGACAAAAAAAAAGATCACCGGATATATGAAGAAGAAAGAAACTGTATATATATATACAAAAGAAAAAAAGTGAATAGAAAAAAATTTTGTTGTTTTTTTCGTCTTCTTTTTACAACAGTTCCAGTCGATCCTTCTTCGATAATGATAAGTAAAAACGTGATCGATTTCCAACTGTCTTATTTTGTGCTGCTAATTTCGAATCATATTGTTGTTTTGTAAAGAATAATTGTTGTTCAGAAAGAAAATTTTCTATTGAACCAAATTGTAAAATAATTTCTGAATGACTTTCATCATCGAATTCTTTTATATCAATCCATAATAAATTTCTTTTAAGTATATCATCAGAAAATTGTTCACCAAATATTGATAAACGTCTTTTTTGTGGAACATTTATTGGTGGATGTGATAAAGAATGATTTGATATTCGTTTTGGTGATGGACTATTAATAAGTTTTGGTGAAATACCACCAATTGGTGTACGATAATTTGAACTACTTGATGTACTATTAGTACTTGTTGTTGATGAACGTGATAAACGTGGTGAAGATGTATCCATTGGTGATAAACGTTGCTTAATTGGAGTTGATTGTTTTGTTTGTGTGGGCATTACTGGTCGACGAACAGGTGGTGGATAATTTTTAACTGTTGCAATAGATGCAGCAATGGATGTTGAAGAACAATTATCAATAGGTAATGATGGTTTAAGACGTTTAATAGGACCAGGACGATTTTCAACATCACATGATGATGCTGATCTTTGAATACCTTGACCAGATCGTAATGGAATATTATGACGAGATGATAATGAAAGAGAATTAGTTATAGTTGTATTCATTGCTGTTGATGTTGGTGAAAGTTGCATTGGTGATGGACTTGTAGCTAAAATGAATAGGATTGTTAGTTAAAATGTAAAAAATGTTTGACTTTTTTTTTGTATATAAAACTTACTATTTGATAATGAATGACGACCTTGTCGTTTAGCCAGATTAAGCCTAACACCCATAGCAGCTTCAAGTGCTTCAAGACGAGATTGTAAATTTGGTCCCAATGATTCTAAATAAATTAAATATATAGATATTATCAAATCATTATTCACTTTTTTTTCTATTCTCATTTAATTAAAAAAATACCTGAACGATGTAATTTTGCCGGAGTAGGCATAGTATAATTTTATATAATGTACGTCAAAATTAGATCGCAAAAATTCAGGAAGAAATCGTTAAAGAATCACAACTTCAATGTGCACAAGTGTGTAAAAGAGAAAAGAATATATATATATATACATATATGTATACATAATAGTATAGTAAGACGAACGTGCCATAAGTATGGCGATGCAGGTCTATTTTATTTTATGATCTTATTTTTTTTCCTTTCTCTTTATCTCGTTTTCTTTCGTTTATGTGTGACAAACACTAACATAGAAGAAAAACTTACGTTCACTATTCGCTGTTGTGACGCCAACAGAATAAGAACGAGATGTAGTTAATGTTGATGGATGAAGCCTGGGCATATTTACACGAGGAAATCGCTTTGATTCATATAATTAATGAAGAAATTTAATCTTCAGTAAGCATCAATCATTGACTTAGCCTTCTGTCATATGCACATCTTACTTTTCGTTCATTTTTATATATTTTTTTTGCTCGCTCATTCATCCATCTAATTTTTTTCTCTCTCTCTCACTCTTCATTTCTCTTTTTTTTCGATTTCTTCCTTCTATGTAATAAATGATAGGTACAATGAATGATGTAGAAATGGTGAGAACAAGGTTTCATATGTCATATGTAACGGTGAATGTATATGAACGAGCAAAGCAAACGATTAAGTCATGCTTACAAACAAGTAGAATGAGAGAGCGGAAAAAGGTGTTCCGATATATGCATAACTCGCAAAGGACAATTATGTAGTGCACGCGCCTATATTTTTTGACGGATTAGAGGTTATAAATGATAGTCTACTATTACTTTTGTCTTTTTATCTCGTACGACTATCAAAATAGCACGCTTTCGATCGATTGAACAGACATTTTATTGTCTGTCTCGTTGTAAAAAAAAATGTATCACATAGGGAATTTACTTTTTTCACTTTTGAATTTAATCCTTTCGATTTTGCTGATAGATTCAATAGGTAATTGTTGTTGTTGAGAATGCATTATGTTTTTATCGAATTGATTTATCAATACGCTTGATTGATGATTGATGTCTTGTGATTTTATTGTTGTTGGTACAAGTAAAGGTCGATAGTTCGGTATAATAAAGTTATTTTCATTGATATGATAAACTTGCAAGTCATCATTAGATTGAAGTGATAATAAATCAAGTGATTTTTGTTCAATGTCAATGTTAATTTCAGTGATATGTGTAGATAAATGATTATATTCATTTCGAAATTTATTCAATTGCTTTTGATTTAAATTTTCAATAGATTGTAGACAAATAAGTTTTTGTTCATAATAATATTGTTTTTCAAATAGAATTTGTTGTTTTAATTGTTTTATATTTGATTGAATTTGATTTTGTTCATATTGTATTTGAAAAAGATGATTTGAATAAAAATTTATTTGATTATTTTGTTTAATTAATTCTTGTTTTAAACAATCAATATTATTTTCATAGTCGTTCACATTAGTTTTAAGTTCATTTAGATATTGAATTGATTGATGAAGTTGTTGATGATATTGTTCAATATTTGATGATGATGACGATTGTATATTAAATAGTTTCTTATAGAATTGTATTGATTGATGATGTTGAATTTCAATTAAATGAAAATATTTTTTACGAGATTTTATATTAGATAAATCATCAAGTATTGTTAGAAATTTTTGATGATAATAATTATTACGCAATTCACATCGTTGAATAAGATCAATACGAATGTCATTTAATTGTTTATTTGTTAAATTTGTATTGTCAGTAAACGATTTAATATTATTAATAACTAATTCAAGACGTTTATTTAATTGTTGAATAAATTTAATATCAATATCATTGATCGTAGTTGATGATAGATATGAATACATTGTAAGAAAAATCAAGTTCTTTGACTATAATTGAATATGTTAATTAACGATCGCTTAACCAATCATTGTATTCAATTTTTTATTTTATATTTTCTAATGTTTAACGTATAGATCTATCATTGATTTATGTTCATTATGATTTGTTTTTCATTGAAGATTATAATGTATATCATCATTAGTCTTTACTAAGCTCCTATGTTTGATAAATATTGATTCAAGGCGTTTCATTGATTGTATCATTGTTGTCGTTATATATATATATATCTTACACATTTCTTTAATAGCAAGTTTTTCCATAACTAGATATATGTCTTAATCTTCGAAAGTTTTCTGATAGTTCAATATTTTTTTGGTAAATATGATTGTGTACAAAGATAATGAACAGATAGATATAGAATGTGTTGATTTTATTTGATAAGATTATTATTCTTTAGCTCTCAAAAGATGATTTTTCTTCTTTTATATGATGTAATTAATGTTAACTTTCATCTTACGACCTTCACATGATTTTGTTACTTTTCATCTATCAAATATTATAAATAGTCTCACACACTTGGACATAAAATATAAACTACTTGATATAATTTCATAATTATAAATCTATATTTATCCTAATGTTTATAACAAGAATCGAAGAAATTTGAACAAAAAATTTTTTTTTATCACCCTGACCTTGGCCACTGACATATAGTTTTGCACCAGCTTGTTTCCCTGATTCAATTAAATTGAAAATTTTACACATCTGTTCATGACTGATCTAAATGACATTTATTTTTAGCTATATTTTTACTTGAGATCCTTGTTCAATAATATCATCAAATATTTATCTCAAATTTTCTCTTCAATATATACACGTGATCCAACTAAATAAAAGATCTTTTAGAAATCTATTGAAAAGAAGAGAAATGAGATCATTATATCATGACAATATTGGCCTTGATTAAAGAATAGAGCAAAATGTAACACTTCAGCTGCTATTTCAACTACAAATAAAAATATGATTAATATAAAACATATATGTATTATTATTCAATATGCAATCACAATCAACATGAACAGTATTTGTTGATTTACCATTAAGTTCAAGTGTTGTACGTTTAACCATTTTCGTAGCCTCAGCTTCAATTATTTCACCAACTAACATATTACTTGTTCAAGTAAAAGCTTTTCTTCTGATATTTTCTTGCATTTATCATGATTAATGTAGATTTAAAGAGAAAACTACGTTGTTTGACAAAATATCTTTCTCATATTTATTAAATCTCATCTATTCATTTCTTATAAATTATTTTATTTCATAATAGATTATTTCAATTTATAACAATGTATGATAGCAAAAGAACTCGTATAACAAAGTTCATGTGACACAATTCAGAGCCAAATCTGAATATTGTTAGAAGAGCATCGTAGGCGACAAAATCGACTGAGTGGATATTGATGTAGTTGTCGTCGAACTAGATGCAGAAAATAAGGCATATCATCCTGATGCATATTACAAAAGAATATTCGAAGGTAAACAAGCTGTTGTAAATGATCAACAAGGAAATAAATAAGATTAACAATACGTTTTGCCAACTTATTTTTTCCATCTTCTATTCGAGATGGTTTCCAGTTCCGCCGCACATAATATGAATCATGAATAGTAAATGAAAATATCTGTAAATTACAAAATTGATTCGACACTAATGTACAAAAGCGTTTAACGTTGTCTAATTTCCATGATTCACTCATAATCTTCAATGATTTTATCTAATCAATAGAAAATAAATTTTAGTTATTTCATACATTTCAACCCTAATAAATATTAATGAAAAAATTCTCTTACTTGTTGATTAATACGAGTTCCATAATTCTCTTTGTTATACAACATCGTTCGAATTATAATTCCTCTATGATCAACTATGTCTAATGTATCCACATTATACGCTTTTTCTAATAAAGACTTTAATGTATGTTGAGTAATAACTTCACTATCGTTTATTTCAATTTTTGATATTAATGACCAAGGAATAAATGATGACACTGAAGATTCACATTTGACAAGATCTCGAATACGATTTGTCTTCTTATAACCATATAGACGTAAAGTATCAGTATGCGGAAACAAATTTGTTGCAGCCATCGATATTTGACAAGATCTAAACACAAACAAAGAATTTTTATATGAATTTTTAAAATATTTATCAATATACTTTTCAAAATCATTTGAAAACATGTGTGATAAAAGAGTTGTATCATTATATGGCAGAGTAAATACTATAAAACAATGTGTATCACTACCCAGATTGCTGCGATCATAACATTCTCTTATAACAACTTTCGGTTTTTCTCGTTGAATAAATTCCATTCGATGAAATAAATTAAAAACCCTTTTTTCTTTTAAATCATTTTTAACATATAATAATAGATTAAGACTATAGGTTGCCATTCGTTGAAGACGATCAATAATTAGTTTTTGAATAGTATCACCTGATATAATCATTGAACCATATACTAATGTATCTGCTTCTAATTTCAATAATAAATGAGTAAGTTGATTAAATAGAGACGATAAAAGTGAAACTATTCGATGAAAACTAATATTATTCAAACAATTCATATGCAGGGAAGATAAATGTTTAAGATGATGAGCATCAATAGCTGTAGGTAATCTAAAAATCATTCGTATAATAGATACATTTATATATGATCGTATGTTACTTACATAATTTTATTATATCCACCATTCATATTGATATCTTGATCTTCTATACTAAATGAAAGTTTCTCAATTAACGGTATACATAACAGTAACTGTTCGAGAAAGTATGATGAATGTATACCAATAGACAAGTTACGCAGTTGATTTGGATTTACTAAACTTGATAACATCATATAAGATTTTAATGGATAAGTTACTACTTCAATCGCATCTTGATTGTTATAATTGAATGGAAGTCGACAGATTCGTAAAAGTGGCATTCGTGAACATACCTTTAAAGAAAAAGAGAACTTTTTATTCAATCGAAGAAATAATCGAATTTTACCTTAACTAGATGCAATCCTTCAGTTTTGAGACTGCGAAATGGATTCGAAGGTGTCACATCAACTAATAAAGTATGTAACTGTCTTACGAAATGATTAGATAATAATTTATCAAATTCATTTGGTTTAATATCGATCAAATGTAAACGTCGAAGTAATAATGTTTGATGATAATGAAGTGAAGATGAAATAATTGACCATCCTCCAATAGTATTCATTAAGTTCAACCGTAATGAGATGACTCGATTTCCTATTAATTTCAAAATATTATGACTATGTTCAATAAATATCATCAATGGCATTCTGGAATCGCCAATAGAAATGTGCCATAAATGTTCATTTGTTATTAAATTGGAAAAACGTTTATTTAGTGATGAAAATGATTGAAGAACATCAGTTGGAGATAAATAATAAATAATTTCAGAAAGAATATCATTAGCTAAATCTTCGAATGAACTTGTGTTCATCTTTGCTCATATATGATTTCTTCATGTCGAGCTATATATATATATGTATACATAAAGACATTACTCTCCACAACGGACTAGACGATTGAAAGTGAATTAGAGTTCATTTATTTAATCAGTCATTCTTTTAAAGAAGATGAACTGAATTTGAATGCATCTATCACGTCCAGTGATTCACTTACAATCGTCACCTTTGATTGCCTTTAATGACATTCTTTTATCGGTCGTCTTGAACGAAATTTCTTTTATATATTTTATCTTTTTCACTTTTAACGGATTAAACCTCGCTGCATAATACAAGACCCTTGGGAAAATTTTTGTTTATATAAACTATACATATTTTATAGAGAATTTCAGCAAAACTGAGATTTAATTTTTGAAACATAAGAGAAGACTCAAAGGTCTTTTATCATGAAGAAAGATTTAATATGAATATAGGAAAAAAAAGATGAAAAATATAAATATCTGCTGTTATCGAATGTTCGTTAGAAGAATTTATTCTGTTTTGATTATGTATCTATAGTCTTTAATTATTTTTCAAAATAATAGTTAAATTTGAAGCGAAAGACGTGTTCAATTCCATTGATAATATATGTAGTGGAACTATAAATATCGAAACCAAGTAAAGAGAACACACAAGTTAGCTTTTATTTATGTTTTCATTATATTGATATTGAGTATCTTTAATCTTCGTAAGATACATCAACTGTCCTTTTACCACTGACATATATAATCCATAAAAAACAACAGATATGTTTTATTATAATTTCTTTATTGTATTATTTGTTAAAAATATAAATGATAAATAAAAGATTAAAATATACAAGAATGTAATAGTATATTTCATCTCAAAAATTAGTTTATATAATTGAACAAGATATTGCTGAAATTATTTAACTGAGAGATAAAATAAGATGAATTTCACCATGTGAACCAAGGCCAAAATGAGCAGGTAATTTAACCCATTGGTCTGATTGTCCACCAGCTTCTCGAAGTTTCTTTAAACAAACTTTAGCTGAACCGATTGCATCTTTACCAACCTCATCAGCATCATAGACCTTAATATGTAAGTTATCTTGACCTTTTTGTAAATTACTATTCATAAAAATATAATATTCTCAGAAAATCATACATAACTAGCTCTACTTACAAACTAAATTGTTCATTCCATGTTGGTGAATTTGTATCTTTGATAGTTGCTGTTCGTTGTTTATAATCATCGTCTAAATATAATTCAACAAATGCATCATTTTGACCAAGAGTATCTTCGTCTTTAAGATTGCGACCTTCAACAACTGTAACGCGAAGAGTACCGTGAGACATGTTTAATTTGATGTGATTGAATAAATAGTTAATACAAGAGCGTATATCGAAAATAGACTGAAGAATGAATATTTTTCTTCGCTTTTTATAATACGGTAATCCACATAGGTGGTTTCTAGGCCGAGAGAGAGAAAACAAAGGGTCTTCATAAAGTAATATACACTATAGAAAAAAACCCATTAGTGTGAATAAGTAAAGAGAAAGAAAGAAAACATGAATTATTATTGTATGATTGTTATTTACCATCAAAATATAACATATGACAGATTCTAAAAGAAACTTTACATATGAATCATATATGACTATTGCAATTTAATTTGAAGGTTATTTATTGATACAAACATAGGTAAGACAAGAAAAAAAACAAAAATACATTTCTGAATACAAAGTCGAATGTTTATATGAATAACATGTGACAATATTTATATATTATTCATGCATTGAATACTATACCTGTGAGTATGTATACAACCGATTCCCGATAATATGATACATAAACTTGTATACGTACATCAGTATTTGGTATGAATTAACACTCAAGTTTAGGTATAGATTAATAACGTATTCGAGATCTTTGTTGTTTTTTTACATGATAAAAAGAAAAATCTATATGAATGAATTGTAATATTTTCATACGACAAATTCCAAGTAAATTTGAACAGATTTTTTTTGAAATAAAAATTGTTCTTCTCTATTTCACATATTGTAATTTTCATCTTAATGTAAAAGGATAAAAAAGAAATGTAACATATAACTATAATGTGAAGTTTTGAGTGGATACATTGATGAGTCATTTATAAAGTAATCGAATATCAAATAGTATGATAAAGTTTATCGTTTATCATTTCTAATTAAATTTCATGTTTTATCGTTTGAATAACATACAAAAATCTTTTCTTTTTTCGAAAATTAATTCAATAGAACATATATAATTGGCAAAAATACATTTTGAAATTTTAAACGCATGAAATAGTTGCATTTCATTCATATATTTATACTGTTGTCTATTTCGAAGAGTGAAAAAAAAATAAGAGTTTTAGCGAACAACTCTTTTTGTTGATGATGATGCTGATGCTGAACTAGCTGTTGATGAGCCACGTGATGACGCTCTTTGTCGTGTTCCTGGGCCACTTGGTGGTCTTGATCCATCTATACACAAAACAAAAGGATATGTTTTTTTTACAGTTTCGAATAAAGTTATTTATTAAATTCTTACCTAAACCAAGTTGTACTGAAGAAACAGGAACTCGTTGTCGTGATGATGTACGTGATTGTTGAGAGACTGAACTACGTGTTGAACTTGATCGTACACTTGATGGAGTACTTGCTATACTTGATAAATCATCTAAATGAGACTAAAGAGCAAAGAAAAAAATATAAGATAATCAAAAGTATAGCATTCTTTTACTTGTTCTTTAAGCATTTTATAATATTGTCTAGCATCTGGATCATTTGTAACAGTTTGATCGATCATTGTATCAAGTTTTTTATTAAATTCTTTTAATAAACGTAATTCAAAATCATTTTCTTCAACTAATGGTCCTGTTTGATTACGAACAGTTCGTGCTGCTTTTTTATTTGAAGAAGTCTAAATTAAATTAAAAAGTATATCTTTAACAAACAAATAATTTAGCTTTTGCATACACTCTTATCAGCACGAGCTATTTTTTCTTCCATTTCTTTCAAATCTTGATCTAATTTTCGTACTTGTAATTGTTTCTCACGATTTGTATCATCACTTGCTGATTGAACATTAGTTAAATCATCAAGAGCACGTTCAGTACGCTATGAAATAGAAATTATTTTAACATAAGAAAGTATTATCATCAAATATAGGATTTATTTAGCAAAAATATAGAAAAAAGTTGGTTACTATGACTTAAATTTATATAAATGATATATTACTTTTAGATCGTTGACGATATCTTCCACTTTTTTTCGTTTAATTCGAACTTTATCGGTTAAATGTCTTGATTGTTCTTCTAATTCTTCTAATCGAGTCATTTCATCACCTAAAATTTATAATAAATTAATCAGATTTTTCTCGATAGTATATGAATCTTTACTGGAGTCAGTTAATTTTTTAAAAGATTGTTTTGTTTGACTATTTCCACTATTGATAACACGAAGAGTATTTTGTAAAGCTAATAATTCTTGTTCTGCTTTACGATTTTTTGCATCAAGTTCATCACCAGCACGTTGTAATTCTTCCTTTTCTTGAGCAGCCTAATGAAACCAAAAATGAATTATTAATTATTTTTTGTCTTTTATTCTAATTACTTTAATAACATAATAAGTTTGCGATGTTTCTTCTTCTTGTGATCCTTCAGGTGGTGCCATTGAAATATTAACAATTTCATATCTAGAAAAAAAACAAGTCTAATGAAACTGAAAAAACAAAAACAGACCTTTTTTTTAATTTTTCTATTTTAGCAATTCGATCATGTAATTGTGCTGATACTTCACCTTTTCTTCCTTCTTCATCACGTAATTGTTGACGAAGTGTTGATTGATGAATAGCTATCTCACTTCGACGTTCTTTAATAGCCTAGAATAAATAAATAATAAACATGTATTTTTCCATTTTTTTTATTTACTGTTTGAAGTTGTAATCGACGTGTTTCAAGATCCATAACATTATCGGATTTTGAATTAAGTAAAGAACGAAGTCGTTTTATTTCAATACGCATTAAATGTTCATCGACAAGTAAATTCTAAAGAAAATAAAAGTTAAGATATTTAACAAAAAACAAAAATTGATAATCTAACTTCTTTTTCATCATTTAATTTTCTAATTAATCTTTGAGCATTATCAGCATGTAAATCAAGTTCTTCAAGTTTTTTTGTTTCATTTGTTCTATCACGATCAATTTCCGATATATGTTTTGTTAAACGTCGTGTTTCTTCTTCAATTTTTTTTCGTTGATCATTTAACATTGCATAATCATCACGTTTTCGCTGTAAATCACCTTCTAATTCACTTATTTTTCTTTCTAACGCAGCTTGTTCTTCAGTACTTTTTTCACCTTGCATTCGATTAATACGACGTTCAAGGGATTGAATTTCAAAATCCTATGACACAAAATAAAAACAATGAATGTATTAAAGTTCTCTTTTCTTTTTTTTTATAGTTAGTACCTGATGATAAAGTACTTCTTGTTGTTTTAAAGCTTCATGATCTAATCTTTGTGTTTTAATTTGTAAATTAGTAAGAGTCACAATTGAACCACTTGTATCAGCTTCTAAATTTTTTTCTTTTGCTTTAAAATCAAATACTTCTTGTGTAATTTTAAACATTCGTTCAGATAAAAATTTTAATTGACTATTTAATGCCTGTTCACGTTCTTGTTCATCCAAATATAATTTATCCATTTTATTTGCTTTTTCTTCGGCAGTATATTTTGTATCTAAGATTTCACGTTTTTTATCAATTAATTCATGTTTACGTACATTAACATCTTCAAGATATTGTCGACGATCTGTTAATTGTTTTTTCATTTGACTAAGAATTGCATATGCTGCTTCTTTATCTTTTTCTGTTCGTTTAACAACACGTCGTAAACCTGATAACTAAAATAATTTGAATTTAAATTGGATAAATACAAAAATATGTTGTTTTTCATTTACTTCATTTTCATATAATACACGACTTCTTTCTGCATCATCATATTGTGTACGTAATTTAGCTGCTTGTCGTTCAGCCATTGACATTTGTAATTGACGTTCATTATTATTTCTTTGTTCATTATTATAAAATTCACGTTTTTCAATTATTTGTTCTTCAACAGAACGAGCTTCAGCTTTGATTTTGACTAATTTCTATTTGAAAAAAATTTATTTTGTTTTATTGATTAGCAAATTAAATTAAACTTACAGCAGCTAATAAATCAATATCACGATCTCGTTGATGCCTAAAGAAATTATAGCAAATATAAAATACAATGGTATATATCGGGACTTTATAGCATTCATAATACAAAAAGCTTCTATTAAAAATTTTTCTAAGATGGGCCAAAAAGTGTGCGAACACTTTTTTTCGTAGTATTGGTTATAATTTAAAGTCTTACATTTGTTCAATAATCTCTTCCCATCGTTTGAGGAGGTCTTGTCGTTGAACATGAGAACGTCGAAAATTACTTGCTGTTTTATCAAGTTCAACCTATTGGAAAAGAATAGTTCAATTGAATATAATAATAAATATAAATATGCTTTACCTGAAGACTAGTTGTATCCATAACTTCACTTTCTACAGCACGCTTTTTTTTATTGTTTTCGTCTGTCATGCGTTCAACTTTAAGCAAAAGTTCCTTTTAAAAATAAAATAATTCATTTATAAAATAGAAATTAAAACAAGTATTAAAATAAAACTTCAATTTTCTTTCGTTTTCAAACAGATCGCATCACTTTTTGTCGTTCAAATCAAATTACTTATTCTAACGGTAAAAGATTTATCCGAGATTTTTAGATTAAAAAAATAATTTGATAGTTAATCATTTTTGTGATCTTACTTTAACTTTGGCTTCATCTTGTCTGGTATATTTCATTAATGCCATAACATCTTCATCCTTTTGTGCTGATTCTTCAAGCCATGCTTCTAATGCTTGTTGATCCCATTTTATTTGTGCTTTCATTTCATCAAGTTGTTGAGTTACACGAAAAACTTCATCCTAAAATTGAACATAAACAAGATTTAATAGATAAAACTAGTTTTTTCTCTTAAATACCGCTAGACCACTTTTACGATCTTTTATATTTGTTATTTCATTCTCGACTCGTAAAATATCTTGTCTAAGTCGACCCATTTCACGTTCATTCAACATTTTCATATGTTCTTCAGTTTGTACTTCATGTTTACGAGCATTATGAAGTCTCTAGTAATACAAAACATTTTTTTTATTTTGTAAATAAAAAGTTTTATTTTATTGAATCTACTTGTGTTGTTCCTAATTCATCTTGAACATTTTTAAGATGATCTTCAAGCATATGAATTTTCGTAACATTTTCATCGATATCGCTTTGTTTTGATTGAATATCACGTTGTTTAGATTCAATCTAATAAAAAGATTTAATTCTTTGTTTTTTTTCCTTCTCTTCATACCTTAGTTTCTAAATTTCGATTTTCAGCATTAGGTATACGTGGTGCAAGTGCTGAACCAAGTCCATTGAATCCTTCTAATTCTAAATTGGCACTCATTCTTTTGTTTTAAAATTTATTAAAAGAAGAAACTAGAATTTCTTGTTTTGATCGTTCGTATCGAAGTGAAACAGACAAACAACAAGAGTAAAGACATCATGGAGAAAGTTGTTGCCATGGTAAATTCTTCTTTCTATATAAAAAAAAATTTCATTGGTTCAAATAAACCAATTGAAGAAAAATAAAATTGAATCATCATGAGTTCTTCTCGTCTTTGTTCTCTTCATGAGAATTTGATTTAATTCGATAGATTCTCACATGGCGAGTACGAGTATTCCAGAATTTCGAAGAGTTGTGAATTATACAGATCTCGAAGTATTACTTGAATGTATATATTTTATTGAATAGATATATTTTTTATATCTTTTTTTTCTAAATTATTTTCTAGGTCCATTATGTCTTGATCGATTTGATCAACCTCGTGAGTTTTACTCAGAGAAAAAAAAGTTGTTTTTTATTTTTATTTTTATTTAGGTATGATTCCTTGTGGTCATACTTATTGTACAAAATGTTTAAATGAATTATGTGCAGGTAGTGATACAATTATTTGTCCACAATGTCGACAACAGTATGATGTACCTACAGCTGGTATTGCTTTATTTCCTCGAAATTTATCATATCAACAATTACTTGACATT